TATAAATCCAAAATTTGGAATTTTTATGATCCCCAATTTTAATAAATTTCTAATTTTCCAAAGAAAACCGTTTGATGCTTACCCTTAGCCCGGTGGTCAGTTTTTCTTGAAGGGTTCACATTCCTCACATCGGAAAAAGAATGGGTTATGTGCTGCGAGTGAGATTTGCTTCGTTCTTCACTGGCGCCGCTCTGGCGTCCGCCGGTGGTCTCTATTTCCTCCAGAAGGATTACAAGATTGCCCACCACGCCATTTCGCAACAGGTTTCTACCATTGTTGCCATTTTTTCTGCACCTTTTATTTTTCTTTTTATATATTTTTATTTCGTTTCAACACGATTAATGCTCATGAGTGAAATTGGTGATGGCTTTGAATGTTGCGTGTTGATTAATTTAGCTAGTCTGAACTAATATGTTGAAATCATCAGTTTCTAAGCCGTACGATGTTAACCAAACTTTGATTAAGAAAACGAAATCCTAATCAAAGAAATGCATTTGGGTGAGATTACTAGTGCTTGAGAAATTGGCAGTATATGGAATTACGAGTTCTCTTATGCTTCCTTCAGCTAATTTGTGAAGTTACAGAGATCCAAATAATGCTATATTCAGATGAAACTGTGGAAGATGAGTGGAGATTAGGGTTCATGTGGTTAATATGATTTGTATTTGCACCTGTAAAGTGTACTGAATGTATGAATTTTGAAACTAACTAATACCATAAGTTGTTTCTCCCTTGCAGACGACAAAAGTTTACGTGAACCCCCAATTCAGTTATTTTTTCTTATTGTCTAGTTTCCTCGTAACATATGCATCTGAATTAAGTCACAACTTTTTCTTTTGTGGCCGTCTTGGAATTGGTCATGTGCCATTTAAATGTCATGGCCAATCTTTTCTTTATTCAGTAGTGTTCTGCTGATTCTTCAAATAAATCTGAAGTACCATTAGTTATTCTGCGCTTCTTCATCTTAGCACATTGTCTTACCTCAGTGAGGAAGGACAGTTACCTTTATTCACGTCATCTACTAAAAAATCCTCCTATCATATTATTGATTAACTTAGTGTTTTGTCTAGACTTTGTACAGATCTAGTCTTGTGTTTAATTTTTCGTAGCATTATACCTTAGTGTCTCTCCTCTCTCTTACACAAAAGCATGATAGTTTGTAGCATTGACACCGTTTGCCACATTTACCAATAATAACAGAATAATAGATGCATTTATTATGTCTATCATATATGATAGAAATCTGTGGTGCTCGAAGGGGATACAAAACCGGTACTGATGGTATAGATCAAGCTCGGATAGATTCATTTTTTTTTTCGTATTTTTGCTTAAGTCAAACATTACTTGGAACAAGTAGATACTCGATACCAAAACTAATTTGCGATACAATCCTATTCTATAGCCACGTTTGGGCAGAAGGCTCTTGAAGTCTTCTATTTTAGTTTGTGAAATTGTCAAGTGGAAAATTTGTTTTAAGTGGACACTCTACCTATGATAAGTTCTGGAAAAGAGGTCCAAAGTATAGTATTGTAATAATGTCTGAAAGGAAGAGAATATAGTTATCAAGATATTCGGAAAATGTTCGAGGTGGCTATGTTATAGCCAGGGGTAAAGTGAACCCCAAGAAATAATGACTGATATTATTTCAGGAAATATATGTGGACAATGTTCTTCTCAGAAGAGTGCTACCCAAACTAGAGACTTGTCCCCCCAATAATACTTTGCAAAGATTCCTACTCAACCTAAGGCCACCTATTATATTCAACAAAAGACAACCTTCCTTTGATGGTACTTTACTTAAAAACAATATAATAATCATAACCGTAAAGCCTGCTAAAATATTTTATTTTTTTGGATCAATATATTCGGATGGCATTCTTGAAGCTGGATGGTGTCAGAGAGGATCTTATGGCTCAACATATGGTTGTAAAAATAGAATTTAATATGGTTTTGGGGACTATACACCATGGCCTACCGCAAGGAAGTATATCATTACTATTGGAGTTGGTACTTTGGAATCCCAAGATTGACTCTTGGACTAGATGCATATATAACTGCGGTCAATGTGTGAAGATTAATGTTATTATGATGTCTAATGGTTAGTGTGTCTAGGTATATAGATGTACCTGTGAGAATGAAGATTAATGTTATGATGTCTAATGGTAAGAGTGTCTAATATATAGATGTACATGTGTGGAGTCACCTGAAATGAGTATACATACATATGTTGTCTGAGAGTTTAGATTTACAAAAGGAGTTGTGTTAGTGTGTACACAGAAAATATTGTGTTCTGTTTTTTTAGTATATTTCTTCAGTAATTAAAATTGCATATAATTGAAAAGCAGCTACGTTGTTTATAAAGACTCATTTGATATGGAATTTAGATNGTTAACTCCTTTTCTGTTGCAATGAGTTTTTTAGGTTTATTTTTCTCAAACTTTGTACCCAGCTCTGACTGCTTTTGAATAGCACTGATGTCCCCAATGTTAGGGGCGTAGTAAAAATAATAATGATAAAAAAAAAAATAAAAAAAAAACTTGGATTAATCGATTATAAGAATAATTTAAAATAATGCTAAAGTTTATAAAGAAAAATAGAAAATAAGTTTTAATTAACAAATGCATATGAAATGCTTCATGTTTGTTACAACTATTTAAAAAGGTAAAAGAAAAATGTACTTATTTATGATGCGCCCGCTGATTCTTCATACTATAAAACTCATCAATTATTGAATTTGTGATTCTTGAAGTAAACTCTCTTTCGATGTAGACAATCATAGAATCTGTTAAGAAGATTTCTTTATCTTGTTTCAAAGATTTCTTTATCTTGCATCAAAATGAGGAGAATCAATGTCAATTAAGTGATAATGTGTTGCATTTTCCATCTTTACTAATCATCGATATAAACTAGAAATATTAATAATATTTTGGAATCTCTCATGTTGGACCACATTAAACTTTGAGAAAATTACGCCACGCACGAGATCTTCAAAAAATATTTGCAAATATAGTGCCTTATTATTTTATTAGCAAAATTAAAATAGCTACACAAAGAAATTGCACTCGTACAAGATTTATGAAAATCATGGGACGAGATAAACACAGCACCTATCTCTCTTTATAAACCTCCTACATTAAAATATTAATTGCACATATTTTGAACCAAATCGAGTTTTCATCGATGCCTGTATACATACATATAGTCATATACATACAATTAATTCGATCGCACAACTATCCCAACTCCGACGCCGGCAGCCAGAATGTCCGGGTGTGCGAGATCTGCTCCTCCACGGTCGAGACCACTGACGCGACGGTGAGGATGAGAAGAAGGTTTTGGAGAGGCACGAGAAGTGGGGTCAGCGCGAGGAAGAAGAAGAAACTGATTTGCTCCGTCCCGAGATGCCGACGAGTGTTAAAGTTCTCCAACACCACCGCATATGAGAATTGTTGGATTAAAATTTGCCTGAGACACTGGTTTTCGAGGAATAAGAAGGAATGTTTTTCTGTATATATCCTGTATATAATGATATATCAGTTTATTTCTGTATTTATATGTCTGTATATAATGACTATATATTCAGTATATCTTTTGTATACAATTCGTTATTGTTTTCCTTTTATCCAGTGCGACAGATCGGGACACACATATACATAATATATACTTTAAATATACACTTGAGTCTCAATCGTTTCTCAAAATCGATTTCAGATCCCACATATACATAAAATATACACTCGAGATTTTCCAAGATTAGTGATTTTCTGATCGTGTATATTGCGTATATTTTCGATGGGTGTTTATATCATCAACATTAATGATTTTGCGATCATGTATATTCTGTATTTTTTTATTGTTTATTTTATGTAGACGTTTGAATTTCAAGTTCTACTTCTTTCCTTTTGATATGATCGAACTATTCCTAATTAGTCAGTTATATACTTACCTTTTTTTTCCAGAATAAATCCTATACATGCGTGATTTTAGGAGACGTGGAATCTGAATTCCTTTGGTAACGGATTTTTTGCTTCACCACAATTAATTGCAATTTAATTGGTAATCATGCAAATAAAGTCTCTCCTTTCTTATGCATGAATCCTTAAATTCGTGTGGTAAAGAAAAAAATTTCCCTTAAACTTTTAATGTTCTAGCTGACTTCTCAAATAATGTCGCTCTTGCTCACTAAAATCATTCGGATAAAATTTCTCAGCAAGAATATAAATATCATTGCAATTGAACAACTTAAAGTTATTTCGAGGCTCCAATGCAGAGCTAAGTTGGAGAAGTTCTACAACCCATCATTGAATATGCTATGAAGCTCTCCCAATTGAAAATATGTCTCATTGAATACATCATAGTGATAGTGATATTCAATTGTTGTGGAAAACTTTGGCTGGCAAGAACGCTCTCTAGAAGATCGATGACATACACTTATATCAGGTGGCTCAATACCATTTTCCTCACAAAAAGATCGCATGTACATAAGAAGAGTATCGAAGCCTTTTTTTTAAGAGTGCAAAGCAAAGATTTTTTTGTTGACACAAAACCCATTGCATTCAAAATATCTATAGACTTCTCTTGCAATGATTGACAAAAAAAATTTGTGATCGTCATAATCTTGTGCATAAAAAATAAGATAAATATGAAATCAAATGATCTCATTGCAATTAAAACACCTGTAGCTTCCCCACGTATAGAATTAGAAGATACTTCCTCCGTAATATGCTCGAGCACAATAATCACAGAACGATACATATCTCTCATACTACAAATGAACTCAAAATGAGAACTCCAACGTGTTTTTCTAGCTCACTGCAAAGTTCCAATTTGGTTAAGTCCTGTACCTATGTAACATAAAAAAATAAAAAGTCAAATGAAAATTCAATGAGATTACAATCATTGTGATTAAACAACAGAATGAAAAATTAATTATACATGTGTCGCGAATACCAATGGCTACCATATTTGCAATCTCAATACCTTGGGTGGACTGATGATTTATTATGTCCCCTTAATGCACATCCTTACAAGCAATGTCAACGAGTGCTTTCGATTGTAGTGGTAAGTCTCAAACAATTTTTTTTCACACTATCTAATGTTTGTGCATTCATCACTTTCTCGATGTAACCAGTAGCATTCATCAAAAAGCTCATAGATTGCACGACATTATTATGTGGTAGCGTAGGACTACCCGCATGAATAAAAAAATGCACATCTTTTGCCATCATTAACTCTTTTCAGACCTTTAAATCCATCAATTGTAAAAGCAGGATGACGAGCTTATTTTTCTTGAAAAATGAAACAAGGGAAACAAAATGCCGCATTTTTATGAGTAGAATACTCTATCCACGGAAATTGCTCATACCAACTTTGTTGACAGTGCCGAGATTGATCTCCAAATTTCATTCGCGGAAACTCCATTATAGGTTGATATGGTCCCCTCAAGATATACGATCGCCTAATTGTGTCTCGTTCATTTATAGGACATTGCCATATTGGAGTACGTGTAGCCGGATCTAGAAAAACATAGTCTCTCAAGTCAATATCCACCCTCTAGTACTTGATCGTATGTTGGTGTTCAAACTCATTTTGGGTTGAAGTTTCCGCATGAGAGTGAAAAGAACCTTCGTAGCTGACTTGGGCTTAAAAAATGAGAGCATAGTATTTTTCTTTCCTATGTGGGCTTCCATTGGAAAAATCAACCTAGAAACATCGACCAACCAACAAATAATATTAGTAAAATATTTCAAATGTAGAACTTACAATACAATGTTATTTTTCACATTTTCTATTTCAAGTTCAAAATCAAGAGTATTTAAATTCATTTCTTACTCTGTTGATACATGTAAAACTCTGAAGATTGGTATTAAATCGACAAACTCTGAACTGAAGCTTGGAACCTTTATCGCCATCTGGAACTGTACTGAAATATAAAAGGGAAGTTTTTAATATCTTATTTTACTTATTTGAGTTTATTTATTTTCCTCTTACTTGGATTATTTTGCTTGAAGGAAAACGAGATTCAATACCATATGAAGAAGTCATATGCGCACTTACCATAGGAAGCAACAATGAGAGAGAAGGATGACTTACCAAGTGGAGCTAACTTGCAAAAGGGACAAGCGGCCGCATGTATGTGGACGCGACTAAATTTGGTAGACTGGGGACGAGGAGGACTTACCATAATGCGTTGAGATAAAAAGGCTTCCACGCTCAACTGGAAGCCAACTTTTAGATATTCAATTATTTCTGAAGAGGGAAAAAGAGAGAACCTTGTGTGAGCTATTTGAGAGATTCTGCATTTGATTTTATTTGATTGAGTGGACGAGAGCCTATTCTCGATTTCATTGTTGAGCATATATTTATATTATTTGATTGTAAGTGTTTGGGAGGGAACCAAGTAAGATTAGAGATTAAGATTCGAGTTTTTGAGATTGAGCTAAGTACTTAGCATATATTTTGCTCAAATATTTTGTAGCTTGGGGGGAGTCGAGCCTCCAACAGTTTCGATCCATTCAGCACTTGCATTTCCACATATCAGGTGGGGACCTTGTACTGGGTGCTACGTTTTCTATAATCGCATTATCCTGGCTGAGGTATGTATGTAAAAGCTAGTTTGCCTGAATAGGGAAAATAACCTAGCGAGTAGGTCCTTTCTAGCTAAGTGATCCGAACGCTAGTTAAGTTGAGATAAGAACTCTAGTGAAACTTTGAGTTAAGTTAATTAAGAACTTAGCACAGGTTTGAGTTTTGTAATTCCAGATGATGTTAGAATATTTCTTTCCCAAGGGGCATCAACCTAGAGATCGGTTTATTTATAGCCAAGTGTTTCAAACTCCAGTTAGAATCAAGGACTTTAGTACAACTCTAAGTTAAGCTCCAGTTCTAGAAGGATAGCTTTGCCCGACAGTTAAGCAGCAGTTACAGACAGTAAGTTAAGCAGCAGTTATAGATAGTAAGTTGAGCCGCAGTTATAGATAGTACGTTGAGCGGCAGATATAGACAGTAAGATAAACAGTAGTTCAACGGCCAAGCCCAGAAGATTGAGTAGTATTAATATACAGTTTACTTATTTATATGCCTATGGTGATGCGTTATCATATTTAGATGTATGCTTAGGTTGTGATGTGTTATCATATTAGATGTATGCTTAGGATGTGATGTTTGATCATATTAGATGTATGTTTAGTAAGCGATGCGTTAGTATAATGATTATCATCGTATCGTTTCTGCCAAATTTAATAGCTACTTGCATATATGCTAATGTCTTGATATGATATTACATTAGATGTGCATTCAGTGTTGGTTTCTGCGGAGCATAGTTGTTTTGCTCACGCCCCCACTACCTATTTTTCAGGTGATGGAGTCCAGCGTGGCGCGTGAGCAGCTGTGGTGGTGGTCATAAGCATGAGGATATTTTGATGAACATGTCATGTAGTATTATTGAACATGTTTGGATTAAGTATGTATGTTTGTGATTTCGAACTTGTATGCTTCCGCATTTCTCAGACTTATTTCAGATTATGAGACTTTAAAATATGCATGTTTAAATCCAGTATTTTCATGGCCTTAATTCTAGAATGAATTTTACTTGGTTGCATGTATGATGAGATAAAGAGATGAAGAGATACAGTTAGAAATGAGTAGCATCCCGAAAGAAAAAACCCACGGACACTATTCACGATGTCAGTACATCAACAGTTAACGTGATTTGATGACGACATGCGGTTCTGTAGGGTGGGACCCACGTCTAATGATCATTTTTCGACTGTGCGATGAACACAGGGCCGGATCCAGCAAATGTTATGAGGTGGGGCTAAAATTTTGTGGCAATTGAAATAACGATAAAAAAAAATTGCACAATATAAGACATACAAAATTACCATTATAAATTTTAGTTATTTTAAATAATTCAAAATGAAATATCAAAACACCATACAATTTGCATATATCAGTATTATTTAAAGATACAACGAATAAATAAGACATTGCAATAAAAAAATTTTATTATGAAAGAAGGTGAAAAAAAACTACTTAATAAACAACTTCATTTATAAATTATTTTTATAAAATTACTCACTTCACATTTATTTTTTAAAAAATTATGTAATAAGATTATAAATTCCTTGGCCCCACCTGAAGGGGCTTTGCACCGGCCCTTGGATGAACATGTGTCTTGTTTGCATTTAATGCGTTGTTAGAGGTCAATTCTTGAAGGATCTTGACCGGTTTTTGTGGTTGGGTAACCGAGCTTCTTGTAAAATTAATTCTCGCCGTCGAGTTGCTTAGATTTTCGTTCTTTTATCTTCGAGGTCGGATAGTCATATTATTTGCGCCACGTATCAATAGATTAGTGGGTCAACAGTCGGCTAGAAAAATATTTATTTTATTAACTAAATTTCAATATCATGAATTTAAATATAAAAAAATAAATAAAACCATAAATTAATATAATATTTAGAATTTTAATGTCTACACCATGTATCCATATGTAAATACTTGAATAAGAATTTTGGATTCATTTACATCGGTTTTGCTATGAATCCAATAGTTGGCTCCATAGTGGAGTCAACCTTCTATATACAACAAATAAACCTACCATATTAATAAAATTATAGGGGTTTATCGGTACAAGACCCGAAAGATATGATAATTATCCATTCGGGGCTTGAAAGATTAATTTTATCAATATGGGGCTTATATGTATCAAAACTATCAATTCAAGACCCATAGATCTAACACCGTTAACAACTCCATTCATCAAAGCTGATGTGGCCTGGGCATAACATCACAGAATAAATTCTCAAAAGCAAACAATTGGATATATACCCAAGTAGAATTCAGCAAAAACTAAGACAAATACATAATCACACAATAGCACACGCATATATGAATAGTGGGAAAATTCAACTGCTCCTTGCTTGCTTTCTGACATTTATTTTCCTCTTTAGCCAACTCTTGACTTTTATTTTTCCCTGGAACCTCTCGATTGCCTTCACAATGTCATTTGGGGCCTTATTCATACGAATGAAAGATGCACCTTGTTTATCTATGCCTCTCAATCCTTCAAGGTTGATAAAAGGATGGGGGAGATGAACCGTGTTTGTCTACAACAAAACTTCCATCTAATTACCTGAATTGTATTTAATAAGAGTGTGTTATTATTTTAGTAATTTCCTTTTTCTTTTCCAATTGACGTGGCTCGCTTGTTGGCTATTTCACGGCCACATCAACTTTGATGGATGGAATTGTTAACGATGTTAGATCTATGGGTCTTGAATTGATAGTTTTGATACATATAAGCCTCATATTGATAAAATTAACCTTTCAAGCCCCGAATTGATAATTATCATATTTTTCGAGTCTTATACCGATAAAACTCTAAAATTATATTAATGTTATTTAAATAATCAGAGAATATATATATTTACTTGTTGTATATAGAAAATTAGCTCTATTATGGAGCCAACTGTTGGCTTTATAGCAAAATCGTCATTTACATATCCCATTCTAATACAATTGAAACCAACCTACGATTGACGAGTAACATAAATCATGACCAGAAAAAGTAGATATGACTAAATGTAACAGAAGCGATCCAAGCAACTAATATAAATCATGATTCGTGAAAGACTCGAAACCCGACCCGCCTGCTAGCTCATGAAATAACCACAACAACAAACTTGACGCTCACTTNAACTTCCAAAATGGGCTTTCTTTCACCTCAACCACATCCTCAAATCAGTGGTGGAACACGGCGAGATCTCTCCACCGACACTCTCCTGCTCCTCCATACCTACGTACCCCGCCTGGACGCTCTTGAAGCTCGGGCTCCTCAGATTCTGGCCCACCCCTAAATTCGGGTCGGGCATCGGGTACGACAGCCTCTTTCTCGCGCCCCTCTCCCTTTCGGGCCTATTTCTCGGCGCGCTCTGCCACCGTACCCTGGCTTTGGCAGATTCAGTGGCCGCCATGTAATTGGGGACGGAGACAGTGGAGCGTAGGGAGGGCGTGTTTGCGGCCGATTGGCACTTGTCCTCTTTGACTCGGATTTGGGGGGATTTTGTTGCCCTAGATTGGCGGATGGGGCTTTGGCAGCGGGATTTTCGGTGTGACTCGATCTCGACGGTGCTTGCTCGTCTGTACTCGGTTGAGGGCCTGCTGGTGTACTCCCATGGCGGCTGCTGCCTTGCGGACATCCATTTGTCTAGCCACTTTGCTCTGTTTTCGATGTCGGAGTCCAGTATTTTGTTCTGTACCACGACATTCTGATAATTGTAAGTATGATTTATACTGAAACACACACACGCACATAATGGAAGACCGAAGACTCAACTAGTGTTAGTAAACAGAAACCGTTTTTCAACTTTTTGTTGTAGTTGTTACTTGTAATTGTAAAGATTCACAGAGGAAGTGTGATTTACATATGTGATTGTTCTTCTGATATGGCGCTTACATAGAATTGAAAGACAAATTACATTATTATGAGGCATTACTTTGTCTTATGTCTTTACATTTACTATATAATATTTGCACATGTATGATAATTAAAAGGTAATTTTCGAAGTCGTTTATAAATCAAAATACGTATTTTTACATGATTTTAGAACAGCATGTCAGGTCTTTATAATCGCTGCGTGAGCCGATGGGTTTAGTAGTGTATTACGTTTAATTTTCGCTGCATTTTATCACGTACGGTAAAATGAAAACACACCCTCCACATGATAAACATTCAATTCTATGACAAATGGGTCACAACTACATTTTCCCTTTTGTGACTCTCATAGAAAACTACTTTACTCGAAGGCAACAGGAAAAGTTTGGGCAAAAACTCGTATAAAATAAAATGTACCTGCTGCGAGAAAGCGAAAGGCAACGACTTCTCTCGCACCAATGCAGCTTCATTTCTAGCTTTTAAAATCGCTTCAAGCTCCTCCAGCGTGCGAGGGCAATCCCTCCAATCATCCGTAACACAACTTCCATCTCTCGACTGTCAATACCACAAACTCCATCATAAATCACAATCCAAAAAATTGAACAGCCTTCTTAGTAATAGTATAAAAGAAGAAGAAGAAGAAGAAGAAGAAGAAAGAAGATATTTTTACTCTTGATTTCATGTCTTTGGTGGTGTAGTTGGACTCCCATAAATTACTCGTCTCTGCAAACATTGACCTTCTTGCCCCTTCATGCGAGAGGCGGGCCCGCTGATCCCTCATCCTCGCCTGCACCTTCAGCAATGTTTTCATGTACCGCATAGTCAGGGTAGCCTGTTTTCGAACGTTCTGCCCTCTGATGAGCGCTTGGAGTTTCACGATCCCTTTTAGAGCGATCAAAGCTCTCCTTGCCTTCACATAGAAAAAAACAACAAAAGGGAAAGAAAGAATTAAGTAGAACAAAAGCAACTCATTAAATCAAATAGATCATTTTAATACTACTAGCTAGCTAGTTTTACCAGATAGCCTCTGAAGGCTGTCTGGATGACTCTGGCAGCGCACTGCAGCTTCAGCAGTGTGGGCTGAGTCAGCCGGATAATCTCGACTGCCGCCTTTGCAGTGGCGACTGCAGCTTCCGCCACTGCAATAGCGTGCTGCTGCTCAGCCGGGCCCACGTTGTGTGTCTGCTTGTTTTGCTCGACCGACTGTTGGTAATTATTGTTCGACTGCCTCTTGAACACCCATCGCCGCTTTTCGGTTTTCTGTAACAAACTATTTTTAATCGTGGGAAACAAAATGTACTTGGTTATTGTTGATGTTATTGGCTTATTGGTTACCTTTTCATCCTCTTCTTGTTGTTGTTGTTGTTGATGATTATCTACTTTTCTCCGGGAACTTCTGTTTTGTTCGGAGTCTTTAGTAGGAGACCTGAAGGCTCGCTTGACTGCAGTCAGCCATGAATTCTTTCCCATTGAGAGAGCTTTAAGTTTTTAATAAAAAGTGATGGGATTGCTTTACATTGCAGAGAAAGAAAAAGGGTCAAAGGTAAGTGGAGAAAAAAGTAGTTTGTTACTTACAAGAGTTTCTCCCTCTAGCTCAATAGCTCGTGAATGTGATGTGTGATGCTGTATATAGAAAAGTGTGCTGCCCCTTGTNTGCTTAATTATCTGTGCAGCAACAGCATCTAAAAGTGTGCAAGCTAGCTTCAATGTAAATCTAGTACAAGATGTAGGTGTTTTGTAGTGGCATGGTAAATTTAATAAAGAGAAAATAGTAATATTAATAATAATGGTGGTGGGGTGGTGTTGTCAGAGATTGCCATGAACTGCGCACAGAACCAAACACAGTTGAGAGAGAGAGTAGAAAAGATTCCAAGGAGCTGTTAAAAAGGGGAAAAAAAAAAGAGAAAAGAAATAAAAAATATTGGCCTTGGATTGGATCATTGGATGTGCCTTTATTTATTTATTTATAAATAATTGCTGACTCCATCACTCAGGCCTTCACGTGTTATGTCATACATTTGCTGCAGCTCCTGAAAAAGGAGGGAAAATGGTAGTATTAATTTTCTCCATAAAATTTTGTTAAAATTCATATGGTTTTCATTTTTCCCTGGCTCAATTTAGAGCACTGACAGTGACATACATATAATGATGAGGTTTCGGAATACTGACAAGCTGTAATGAAAAATAGACAGATCTAGTGAATTAAGGTAACTAAAATTAAATTGCAACTTATAATCTTATATCAAACGAGAGGAATTTATTTATTTATTTATTTTTTTCTGAGAAACTCTCGTTTTTTTTTTCTCCAAATCTCCACCACATCGCCTTCAGATATGTGCCCGATTGCCTTCCTTATCGGCAATCGAGCTTGGCCGGGGGTCGCTGGCCCTCGACATCTTGGACCCCGTCCTTTTTTTTTTCGCGCTCTTCCCTCTATTGCAATGGAGCTCGCCCTCGACTTTCATGGATAGTCTTTGCCAATTCCAGCGCCGGTTCGTGATTTCAGGTTGATTGCTTCTCTGATGTGCGGTGGTGGAACTGTGGTGCGGTTCTTGGGGCGAGACATGGCTCGGTTGCTTGGCAGAGTTGTTGTCGGGTGTCCGGTGCTGCGCAGTCGCTTAAGACCGTCTACCCCCCCTGTACTCTGGTGTTGGGTCGGGAGGGGCTGTCAGCGTCCATATTTCGACCAGTGGTTGGTCGGCGTGGAGCTGCAGTGGTGTAGAGGGCCTTGGGCAGCTTTCAGAAGGTTTGGGGGTCGGGATAGGGCAATTGGCTTCTCTTGTCCTCCCCCCGGTTTCTCCGTGATTCGAGTCCCAGGAGGTGAGCCTGGTACTGCTGAATCAGCTAGTAGTGTTAGAGGGTTTGGTTCAGTGTTCGGGGGCAAGTTGGTGTTGTGGTCGTGGTGCATGTTGGCTTGGCTGATGTTCCGTGCCTAGGATTTCGATTTCGTTAGGCAACCGAGTGGTTTTGGCAATTTCAGGATTGGTCTTTCTGGCTGCGGGATTTACTTTGAGTCGACCTGTTTCGCTGACTCTGCTTAGTTTAGCTGATTGGGGAAGGGCTTGTTTTGTTTGAGTTTATTTATTTTAATTGTTTTGTTGTTTTTGTTTAGTTCGTTTGATCTCGTGTTTTTGGTTTAGGCCGTTGGCATTTGTTTTCACCCGAGTGAGTGCTTTATTATCCTGTTGGGATTGTTTCTCACTCGGGCATTATTCTTNAACTTACAAGTGACTGTATAGGTTGATATACATAATAACCGTATTTGATACCACCATTTCGGAACCTTGATCAAGATTTAGAGGTTTGATAGGTAACTAGTTACAACCTTTAATCTATCTATATATATATATATATATATAAAGAGGTTGTTGGAAAAATATATTAATAGAAAGTTTGACCAAATAAATATAATGTCTGACTTACTATTAATGGAAAGTTCAGAAAAATACATGTGAATCTTTAGTAACAAAATCTGAATCCTATTTTTTGGTAACTATTTAGAGATTCTTATGGCAAATTTTGAATCCCATTTTTTTCGTATCATATTTTATTTTTTTTACCAAAATTTAAATCATATATTTTTTGGTAACAAATTTAGAGATTCTTATGCAAAAAATGTGTCAATTATTTATGAAAATAATTCTAAATACAAATTAACTTAAAAGCCATACAGATTGAACACGAATTTTGGAAACAAATAGTTGTATAATTCTTAACCAATTCTTGCAATCTTATTGAATAATATTTTCTTTCAAAAGAAAAGTGTGTAAATTGGATAAAACCACGATTTTTATTTTAGAATAAAACTGATATTTGGACGGGATGTACATTCAAAATTGTATCCACATTTTTTGGTAACAAAAGCATTTCATCTTTGATATTTAAAAATTAAAAAAAAAATCTTAATATCCTTAAATATTTAACTTATTTGAGATCAAGATTTGTTAGGTCTTTTTAAGATTAGTTATGATTTCAAAGAAAAAAACATTATACAAAATTTCACTCTAAAAATCTCACATTCACACTTAAGATTTCATAGTATTCCTCTAAAATTTGACCATCTTAAAAGTCTCAAATCTTAAAAAATCTCAAAGTGGCACTCAAAATCCTAAACGAATACATATTATTTACCTATATCTTCAATTTATAATTATTATTTAATATTATTTACACGTGCATCGCACGGGCCACATACTAGTTTTATTAGTAAAGTGGATGATGCATAATTTTTATTATTTTAAGATTCTAAATTATATTTTTATATAGTTTATTCAAATTTTGTTCTATTATTTAAAATAAATACATAACATCATAGAATGTATCGATATTTTGAAAATGGAAACATAACTTTTTAATAATGATAATATTTAAATGTCATGATAGAAAGAAAAGCATGAAAATATTCACTAATTATAAAAATAAGTACTATATGCATTAACACAAAAATTATACAAAAACTGCCAGAAATTAATTGCGAAAATATGCCAATAATAATCTATATCTATATCTATATCTATATAAAGAGGTTGTTGGAAAAATATATTAATAGAAAGTTTGATCAAATAAATATAATGTTTGACTTATTATTAATGAAAAGTTCAAAAAAATACATGTTAATTTTTAATAACAAAATCTGAATCCTATTTTTTTGGTAACTAATTTGGAGATTCTTATGGCAAAATTTGAATCCCATTTTTTTCGTATCATATTTTATTTTTTCTACCAAAATTTAAATTATATATTTTTTGGTAACAAATTTGTAGATTCTTATGCAAAAAATGTGTCAATTATTTATGAAAACAATTCTAAATACAAATTAACTTAAAAACCGTACAAATTGGATACAAATTTTGGAAACAAATAGTTGTATAATTGTTAACCAATTCTTCCAATCTTATTGAATAATTTTTTCTTTCAAAAAAAAAAAGTGTATAAATTGGATAAAACCACGTGCAATTTCTATTTTAGAATAAAACTGATATTTGGACGGGATGTACATTCAAAATTGTGTCCACATTTTTGAAAATAAAAGCGGTTCACCTTTAATATTTAAAAATTAAAAAAATCTTAAAATTTCCTTAAATATTTAACTTATTTGAGATCAAGATTTGTTATGTCTTTTTAAGATTAGTTATAATATAAAAGAAAAACACATTATACAAAATTTCACTCTAAAAATCTCACATTCACACTTAAGATTTCATAGTATTCCTTTAAAATTTGACCATCTTAAAAGTCTCAAATCTTAAAAAATCTCAAAGTGGCACTCAAAATCCTAAACGAATACATATTGTTTACCTATATCTTCAATTTATAATTATTATTTAATATTATTTTCTCGTGCATCGCACGAGCCACATACTAGTAATAATAATAATAATGCCCACTAAAATATGTGATTGGCCAGTACATTTGCCATTTGGTTAGTAAATTTCTTTATAGAATTGCAAAAATTAGTGATCAGAATTATCATTTGTCTTAAATTACTGAACATGATTTACGATTTTGTCTTCTTTCTTTTGTGATGATTTCAATGTATGTTTTGTTTTAGAGTCTCAATAGTGTTTTTATAATCCTCTGACTGTTTGCACTATTATAATTTTGGTGATTTTTGTAGATAATTTTTCTCACTCTTCAGTTTGCTTTCATCCTCTTTGAATAATAATTGTTTATTGCTTCAAGTATCATTTTGGATTGATGATACAAGAAATACCTGACGTTAGTTCGAGAACACGTGACGGCGATGTATGTTCCGACGTCCTCCTTGGTGCGTCTCTTTTGCTCCGACGCCTACAAAATAGAACCTCGGGGTTGTCCCCAGGGGTAGATCCTCCGATGACTAAGTTAGAATCGGTTTTAGGTTTTACGGTGGTGGCTGTAGAATGAGTAGAGAAGAGAGTCTGCCCATTACCTTTTACAGAGGTCGGATGACCTAGGTCTTCCCTATGCAGACGGAAGACTTCCCAGCCCACTGGTTTAGTGGACTATGGTCCACCAGTTGGGCCATATTTAGACCTTGGGCCTAAAGTGAGACTCCTCAGTCCCATTGGGCCTAAGGTGAGATTCCTCTGTACCTTAAGCCTAACTTGAGATTGGGCTTCAGCCTTGACCTTGGATACTCATGTTAGTGTTATATACTGAAAGTTTGGCTTTGCATTTTATTACACATTTGCCCTTTATGAATGAAATCATATTAGATTAAACAAGTTCTACGTTCTGTTGTTCTGTACTTAGATAGAGCAGGTCGTCATCGGGCGAACCAAAGATCATTCTATCAGTTACTTGCGAACAAGAATAGTTGTTCACAACCTAGATGAACATGAACACCCAATCCGAACGGTTGTAGTGTCAACTGTATAGTTTGTCTTGACTGATTAGTTGCACTAGTACATTTATGTATTGAACAAGATCCCAGAGAGGAGAAGTTCATTTTATACTGATCGTCGTAAATTAACTAGGTCTCGGATTAATTACTGCGTTCTCTTAACCTGTAAGATATTAAACAGGTAAATATATATATAGTATATATTACTTTGATTCACATGGGTGAAGTTCAGTTCGCTGGATTAATATTCCTACTGCTTTGGTTAATATTACTATATATAGGATATGTTGTTAGGATATTTACGGTCACCATGTGCGTTAGTGTGATGATGTCCCCGGATTGAGTTCATGAAGGATTGTTATGCTAAACCCTGCAGGTGGATTAAATTCCGGCATAATAAGAATGTGATGAACGAGCGCTAACTTCGGTGAAATAATAATAAATAAATTAATTCTTTATTGTTAGTAATCGAATTAATTAATGGACATTATATGTTAAACGTGTGGAGGTAAATCGAGTAATTATTATTGAAGTCTCAAATGTAATTTGGGCTAGGAAAAGAGAGTGCAATAATATAATGTTGGTGACCCATTAATATTATTTAATTAATTAGAGGAATGGGCTTGGCCCACAGTTAGTCTAATTAAGGAGCCTTATTCCTAATCTCCTGAGGGTCCCTACTGTAGCTCTATATATACATCATTAAGCTCATGAGAAGAGAACACACATATCATTATTCACGTGAATAACGCCGCCCCCTCTCATCTCTCTCTTGGTTCTCATTCGAGCTTTATCTTCTTCTTGTTGCTCCACTGGTACAAGTTGAAGAGATTTTTGAGTAATACGGTAGAAGATCCATAGGTAATCGAGACCCGGTGATCATCTACTTGCAGTCGACAATCCACGACCCGAATGCCCGAGGACCGCCGACCAGCCCCGCCTTCGACCAGCCGATCGCCGCCGCAAGGAGCCGCCGGACAGCCGTGACGCGCGACACGACCGCCGGGAGCAGATCCGCGACGCGACCCGCTCGGCAACTCGCGACCACTCACACGACGCCACCCGATCCGACACGACTCGATCCCGTCATCCTGTTTGTGTGATCCAGTTCCGTTTGTGTGCTGTGTACGGCCATCCGGAAGATCAGCCAGATCGCCATAAATTTTAAGCCGTAAGTTCTCTACGTCAAACCTTTTGATCCGCTGCGCATATGTTTACATTTGCTATTGAATTCGTGATTTATGCATAACGAGATCCTCACAGATCCTAACAACTAACGGTCCTCGGAGTACACGTGTCTTTATTCTCCCGAGCCACGTGTCGCCTAATAAATGTATATTTTTTCCCTTATCACTTGCCCCTCATTTTATGTATGCGGTAATTTTTACGCATACAGAAAATAAGGGTTGAGACATTTGCAGATGAATACCTGCATTTTGCGACTTTCCAGTACAGTTGCATAGACAAACAGTCAAGCTGCTTGATATAAAATGTCTCATTCTCATTTCTCTTCTCACTTTTTTATTTTTTCGAAACGACATGTTTTATAGATGAAAGCATATAAATACAACTAGAAATCAACTAGAATGAGCCATCTAGTGGAATTCAGGGAAGTCTACACAAAGAAGACATCAGAATTACGCTAACGCACCCACAATACAAACATACTAAACACAAACTAAGACTAAAACACTCCCACATAAGAGAATCTAGCTTCAACGATGAAGAATAACACTCCCACATGAGAGAATTGAGCTGCAAATATGAAGAAAAATACTAAAACAACCTACAAAAGCAAAACACACAAACAATACACAAAACATCATAACACTAAGAATAAGCCCTCCTCCAACCGCAATCAAACAACAACACAGACGAAGACCTGACATCTGAAGACAACCCGCCAAAAGGAAGAAGCCTAACTCGAGAAAAGAACCCAAAAACTCCGACAATCGGCTAGCTGGACCCTCCGCCGAACTAGACACCTTACCCGACCTGGCCGCCCCCAGAACAGCAACCGAAACAACACCCTCAAACCCCGCTGACCCAAAGCACCGCTCTCAGCCCAACACCCGGCCAAGCTGCCCTCTCCAACCAAAACCCACAAATTTTCAACACCGGGCAACAGAAGCAACCCGGGGAAAGTGGGCCCACCCTACCCCACCAACTCACCGAAGAAGGCCGGAGTCAGCAGATTTCCCAGGCCTTGGTAGCCTCCGAAACCTCAACCGCCGAGTAGACAACAGGAGAGCGCAACGAGATTCTACAGAGGGTCGCCGACTCCAGACGAGGAGATTTGCTCGGTCCGGTCAGCGCCGAAGCGCCGCTACATAATCGCCTCCCATTAGTTTTGGGGCTTTTTTATTTTTTCTTCGAAAGAGAGAAAACGTAAAGCGAGCTCTTCTCACTTTTAACATTGTTACTTTCTAGGGAGAGAGAAATAGATAGATAGATAGATAGATAGAGAGAGAGAGAGAGAGAGAGAATCAAGCTCATGGGATTGCATCGATTTTTCCCGCTCGACGTCAGCCTTCGAAAGTCTTAAGACCCTGGTAATTTTTCTTAACATGTCATTATTTCTTCATGTCTTCGGTAGCTAGTTATTATTCACCGACGTCAGTAGCGTTAGTACTTACCTTAAGGAACATCGATAGTAATAATTTAGACGGATATTAGACACTTCGGTAGGCCGAGGAGCTTTTTTGTAGACCTCTGTAGTCTGAGGAGTAATTTTGTTTAACACCTTGGTAGGCCGAGGAGCTTCTTTGTAGACCTCGGTAGTCTGAGGACTAATTTTTTTAAACACCTCGGTAGGTCGAGGAGCTTCTTCGTAGACCTCGGTAGTCCGAGGACTAATTTTTTGAACACCTCGGTAGGCCGAGGAGCTTCTTTGTAGAACTCGGTAGCCCTTGACTAATTTTTTGAACACCTCGGTAGGCCGAGGAGTTTCTTTGTAGACCTCGGTAGTTCGAGTACTAATTTTTCGAACACCTCGGTAGGCCGAGGAGCTTCTTTGTAGATCCCAGTTGTCCGAGGACTAATTTTTTGAATACCTCGATAGGTCGAGGAGCTTCTTTGTAGAACTCAGTAATCCGAGAACTAATTTTTTGAACACATCGGTAGGCCGATAAGCTTCTTTGTAGACCCCAGTAGGCCGATGACTTATTTTTTGGAGCCCTCAAGACATCTTAGGAGACACCTTGAGACCTTTGGGACTTGGAAGAACACCTTGGGAGTATTACTTTGGACTTTGGAGATAGCGTGAAATAGGTTAACACCTTTGACCTTGGACTTCCGTGATAGGGAAAAGTGCTCTACCGGTCTAACCACCGGTATGCGGTATTACATATCGGTAGTATTACCGAACTATCAAATATAATGATATATAAATATACATAAAAATGTACAATACCAAATGCAAAAAAGTAAAAAATAAATGACCATAATCATTAATTTCAACTTCTCAATGAGATAAAAATAAAACATTTTAACTACTAATTTTAATTTTCTGTTTTTAAAATAATAAATTATATTTATTAGTTTTTTTTATTTGTTGATCGGTATATTCCGCTATTTACGGTTTGTTCCCGATACAAATTGGTATAACAGTAAATTTGATATTTTTTGTGTAATTGTACCAGACTAATGGTCGATATCTCGTATTATCAAAGAGTACGATACGATATTACCAAACATTGACCGTTGCCCCGCCCAAGTCGGGTAATGATATTTTAGTGCCATGCTAAACGCCACTTCACCCCAAAACCCAATTTCATTACGCCATGGCCTCCCTTCTCGTTCTCTCAACCAAATCAGCCAAATCAACCGCTTTTCAGTTTTAATTATCGCTGCACAAGGTACGTAACGCTTTTCCCATCCGATTTTAGGTCTAATTTGTGCTTTTGATGGAAGGCCGTGTAAGGATTTCACCGGTTTTCAAAGGTAATATTTGCTAAAAAATTAGGGTTCGATTGATATACTCTTTAGGAACATAGGCTGAGGGGGCGTAATGAAAAGCCGGTCCCATCGACTCCCGGTGTCGGAACCCCACCACGAGGACTGGGTTGACGGGTCATGGACAGTAGACTGTGTTTGCGGTGTCAATTACGATGACGGTGAGGAGATGGTGGATTGCGATGAGTGCGGAGTGTGGGTTCACACCAGGTGTTTTCACTTTGTCAAGAGTGAGAAATCTTTTGCTTGCGACAAATGCAAAAGCAAGATCAGTGTCGGTGTTCCGGATGACAGTGAGGAGACGGAAGTTGCCGAATTTTTGGTTGAGTTGCCCACAAAAACACTGAGAATGGATAATCCCAGTCCAGCAAGTGTGGCCCCACGTAGGCCGTTTAAACTTTGGACAGGTATGCCCTTGGAGGATAGAGGTCATGTTCAAGGTGTGCCGGGCGGTGAACCTGGACTGCTCTCAGGGAGTGGGATGTCTTCGATCTTTGGTCCCGAGTTGTGGAAGAGTACTGGTTATGTTCCCAAGAAGTTTAACTTCAGGTATGATGAATTTCAGCATTTGAATCATTGTACAGTTGAGGAAAAGGTGGAGAAGGAGTTGGATAAGGTAAGTGGTAGAGAAAATGGCAATCAAGTTGATAGTGGTGCTGGGGTCCTATTCTCTTTGCTGAAGGAAAATAATAAGACCTTGCCTACTCCAGCAGTAGATTCATCTGGTGTTAAAAGCCCTGTTGAAGGCACTGGTGTTCATGAGGTAGGGTCTCTTAGACAGCACAAGAACTTGGGCGGTGAGGGTCTAGATTTTTCAGCCCCTGAGGATAGCATGAAGAAGGAGACTAGTAGCTCAGTGCCTATTGTGTTGCGCTTTGGAAAGTGCCAGAAAGAAAAACTCGGAATGTTGAAGGAACAAAATGTAAAGAAGGTGAGGTCTGTGGACTATAAAGATGATAAAAAACGGTCTACCAATTCTTCTAAAGCAGGTGATTTTATATTGTAATTTTCTTTCATTAACTTATTGTTCTTGCATTTTTTCTTTTTTATCGTTTTTGTATGGTTGAATGCATTTTCTGAGTCAAATGTATCTGATGCATGAAATTTTGTTTCCACCAATTGTACTAGCTTCGACTTCTTCAAGTGATGCAAAACACTTAGAATCTTCTCAATATGGAAGCTCGAAGGCTGTCAGTGCCCACTGTAATCAAAATACTCTTCCTAATCAAGCAGATCGTCTTGGTGAATGTGCTACCAACTTGGCTTCAAAAGAACGCGGTTTAGGGGTTACCCATCGAAATGACGCTTCAAGTGATGAAGCATCAAAGAAAGAAAACAAAGAAGATCATGTTCCTGTGAGATCAGAGAAGTTTCTTAAAACCAATAACAATGTGGAATCATTAACAGAACCGAATGGCTCCTTGAGGCAGCCTGTAAGAAAGGAGGTATGTGTACACGACTTATTTCCATAAGGTTTTGATTTTTGTTCTATTAATCTACATTTAATACGCGTTGGAGGCTAGTCTTGTTAGCGAACATTGAACTCATATAAAATAGCGACGATGAACCAACTTATGGATGCATTCAATAGTCATCATGCCTGCATGACTTTGAGAACTTGTGGTGTTGGTTATGCAAGGCTAGTTCTACATGTAGCTGTTCGTCAACTTATATCAGTTAAATGTTATTCTGAATTCAATGCTAACATTTAATAAAAGTAGAACAGGATGAACAATGGGACTTTATATAAGTATCTCACTGAACTAGGAATTAGTTGAGCAATTTTCACAGGTTGATATTGTTTTCGTGTCACTGGACTGAGTATTTCTTGTCAGCTCGTGTTGTCAAATATAATTTTGTAATTAGGGTTCATAATATTGGTAAAGTGACATTTCTGAAAGCCGTTGGATCTCTAAATCTTGAACAAATGATACTAAGAGCATTAGGACTATATATGACTAAAAACTATTTTTTACTCATTGAATGAGCTGTTAAGCTTGTTGTCTGCAAAATCGGACAAACAAAATAGAAAAGAAAAGAATGAACAGGGAGATTTTGTCAATAGAAACTTGTATTATGTTGACTTTTGATCTGACAATCTAGACTCCAAAGAACCACTTTCTCTTACATTTCTTTGTTCTCTTGGTATTGCTGCCTTTTACTTATATTCTTTGGGATCATCTGATTATTGCCTTTGGTTCATCATTTTCTTGCTCAGGTTTCTTTTTTTGTCTTTTTCATTTTTAAGTGTTGACTTCCTCTTTTTTTCTTTGTTCAACATCATTTTCTTTAGTTCCCTGACTTTATTTCATCCTTTATTGTTTTATTTCAATAATTTGTATCATCGTGTTGCTCTATTACAATTCTGAGCTTTCTTAAAATGAGGTTTTATGACATTTTGATTTAACGGCGATGCTGTTAGCCCTCAATTTTGCCCTTGGTTATTGCCATATCTTAAGTTTTTAGGGTACTTTATGTATCTCTGTAGATTTAGTGCGTGCGCATGTGTATAATATACATTCATTTGATCCACCGTGCCGTCAACTTGGAACCATCAGAACGGCCGGTGGGGCACCGGTTGGGAATGAGGCGACACCGCTGGGAAGAGTAGATTAGGGAAGTTTGTATGGTTTCTTCTTATGTGAGAACTAGCGTGAGAGTCACTTCGATCTGAATCAATTTAGGCTAAGGATTTAGTTTTTTTAATTATCCGCGGGCCAGCCCCACCTTGCCCCACCACTGGGCTGGCCCGTTTAGGAATGCTCCTTGGTGGGCGTAAAAACTCACAGCTCAACTTGTCCCTTTACAGGGCAGGTAGGATGGCCCACAGGTCTAGGCCCGTCTTGATGGCTCTAAAACAAAACTCCACAATTCCATGGGATTTTTTTTCCCACTATTGATGCGTTTAATACTGCAATGGGTGTCTCTTGAAAAAGTTTCTGTTGCGCTTTTCGTTCCCCCTTTCTGCCTTAGTTCAATGCGTTCACTTAGCTAGTAAGAATTTCTTTTAGTCTGGTACGTTGTCATTTTGGTGCTGGATCTGTTAATTTTTAGGCTATCATCCCATTATGTTGCTACTTTATCTGGGAATTTCAATGGTTTAATTAGTTTCCTTGTGATATTCTTCAGAGTGCTGGGGAAGCCGGTGGAGGTGCTGGAAGTGGCAAGATTGCCACGCGTGACAAGGATTCTTTGGATGCGGATGTGAAAATTGGTAGTACGGATGCTAAAGAAAGTCGACGGGGCCGAAGTTGTGACATTGATGAGAGCAACACACGGCCTAACAAGAAATTGAAAGGTGACCTCATTGCTGATGATCCTAGGCATCTTCACGGCGAGCCTTTACCAGGAAATGATGCGAAATTAGCCACTATGAAAGT